AAGGATGTAGAGTCAGCAACGGTGATGGAGGTAATGGTGTTGGAGGATGTGGAAGAAGAAGACATTGTAATGAAGAAAAAAAATTAGAAGCTCTATACCATGAAAGAGTATGAATTTGAATTTGATTGCACACAAATTGGTGTGGAGATTTGTATTATATTTATAGTATGTACATGAGCGGGAGAATCACAATTGAAAAGATTTTACAAAAGGTAAGAATCTACAGTGTTAGAACAGATTGTAAAAGATTTGCTCTATCAACAAGATTGGCACAAATTGCAGAAGATTGACGTTATCAATGGGATTGCCACAGATTACGGAAAATTGCTCTATCCTGGATGAATTCTACATGTATGCATATTCTGGAGATTTGCTCTATCACTAAACTCTTCATATTCTACATATCTCCCACTTAAGCAGTATCATCCTGGATGAATTCTAAAGACGAGCAAATGCAAACGCTAATAGTCCACCATAAGCTACATCACATATCAAAGAAAAGCAATTCCGAAGGACGATTTTTGGATTTTGCAAGTGAATTGTTACATCAAGAATAGCAGCCACTCCCTCATGCCAAGTCCATAAACATGACAAATGATATCATACGGTTGAGCAAAACTTAGTTATAGGTCATGTTTGGTTCTTGGTTGTGTGGAAAAGTTCTGAGTAACATTCGTCTTTGCTTCGCAAATGAATGGATCTAACTTTTAGGAACTTCAGACCGATCTTTGCTATCACTTAAGTTAAAGTGGTGGTAAATCGATGGTCATGCCAGACATGCAAGCCCTCGTGAATGAGTTCCTCTTCAAGCTTAAAAAATAGTGAGATCCTATCCAACTCCAATTTTTAGTTGTAAAGTTCCTTTAGCATTCTTGAAGGTGAGAAAGTGACTTCATGTTCTCTATCCAGTGGCAGCAAGATTGAGGGCTCACAAGCAACGGCAGATAGCGGTACTCCTTTGATCGGTTATTTCTCAGCAGCGAATTCCACATACCAACCAGGCAGCTGCTTTGATCGATGCTGTAAAAGCAGTTGGAGAGCAACTGGCTGCAGCAAATCAGCTACTTCTATTGTTTCATTATTGGTTGATGCTAGTTATAAATCACCAAACCGTTTGTCATTGCTTGATATCAGCTTGATATATGAAATTGGATGATACGTCACTATACTTCACTTCTACTATTATATATTTCCGGTGTTTAACAGTAACAAAATCTTCTTTTACTTCAAAATAGCCATTGTTTTTAGTGTCCTAGTTTCTCAATTTCTTCTTGCCGGTGTCAAATAAAGGCTAGAGATGATACCACGCCTTTAATTACTGTAACAGGGCACTTATATTGCACTATTTTCATGTGTTCACGCTGGCAAGGGAATAAAGTAGCACTTTGCACAAGCTCTATCCATCCATTGGAAAACTTTCCCTCTTAAAAGTACGAATGATGGATATTCCTGTTGGCAATGACATACTAGATAGTGGCCATCCACATCCTCTTCTTCTAAAGTTCTTGGATAGTTTGATGTCTTTATAGAATTTATAATGATGCTATCCTATAAAAGAATGATTACTTTTGATATTTGAAGTTATCCTCAAACAATAGTGTATCACATGTTATTTTGGAAAGAACTGTAATGATGATTTACGTTTAAGCATTTGTTTTTGGATGTGGGTTCTTGGTTATATCTATTGACAAGGTTGTACATATGAATGCAGAGCTTGCTGTCGGCAACATTGTCGGGGTATTTTACATATTATGAGGGAGGAGGATCTTTCTCCCACAACGGCTGCCATGGCTGGGTTGAACTTATCAGCTGTAAATGACGACGAAGATGATCATCCTTTGTTGTCGGCTGCTGCAGTGGCTGCCGCTTCGAGAAACAAGTTGTGTCCACCTTCCTTGCAAACCCTTCTCGAGTATCTGCCTGACTCGGCAGCTTTTCCTCATAACTCTTCCTCAGGGGGTGATTCTGAAGGGAAAAGCAAATGTGCACTTCCTTTATCTTTTGATGGTCTGTTTGTATATATTCGCTAGTAATGCGAAAGATAGCTCGTGTTGTGCTAAAGTATAGAGTCCTCTCCAGTAGCAAATTGCCAGTCATGGCATCTGTAGATTTCTTTTGTTCACAAATTCACTTTCCAACATGATAAATCAATTCTGTAGTATTATGTTAAGAATATGTAAGCACAAGAAAGAAGTAGCATTTTCTTGTGTAAATTTTAGTGACTCGCTAGTTCATGGTAGACAACTCTTTTCCATCAAAGCTGTATACAAAAGTTCAAGATGCCGGAAGCTGAAGCACAATGTTATTGAAGCAGTGAATGAACTTATCGAAGTTTGACCCAAAAAAAAAAATGAACTTGTCGAAGATATCGACACTTGCCATGAACAGATTGCTGAGCAAGCAGTGGAGCATATTCATCGAAAGTACTTCTTTTGCCTTGTTGACCATTGCTTGTTCCCCTGTTATTGCTTTGCATCTGGGATTAATGGTCATTTGTCATTTTCCCCCTTAATAATTGAGTATTATGGAACTTGATATGGGTATCTTTTCGATTATTTTCTGGAGTTTGTGCGTGGTACTGTTGATTTTGTTTCTTCATTTTTTTTTTCACTTGTTTTCATTTAATAAACTCCTTGACAATTTATGTAATTAACCTCACATGAGATAAGAAGAGCAACTTGTCTTTTTCTCCATCCATAAATCTTTTAACTTAGTCTTCGGGAAGTGTACTATGTTTTCATATTTTGCTGTGCTGTTCTAATCGTGTGGTCCTGATCAGGTATCAGGGACATCTACTCGCAAAAGAGTAGGTTGCAAGGGGTTTACAAACCACGCTCATTGCTTATTCCGCTATGTTTGCTTTGTTTAGCAATTTTTTTCTCTTCAGCATCCGATTTACTGCATTGACTGTTGGAACAAAGTTTGTGCCGGAAGGTAATAGTTGGAGCTCATGCTGTAATGGCTAACGGTGGAGTTACAGCACCTGCGGGGCTGAATGTGGCTGCTCTTGCTGCTCAAGGGCATGCAGTTCCTTTTGTTGTACTCGCAGGCAGCCATAAGGTAAACTGGGGGAATAACAACTCATGATGCTGCTTGCTTTATTTAGTGTCCGTAGTAAGCTACAAAAAGCATCTTAACACCCAATATATTTGCTTTATATTCTGTACAGAGGTTGCACAATGTGAGTGGGGCTGGGCAAATGAATTGTGGAGCAAGGGCAAAAAGGAATCGACATGTTTCAACACGAATTGACATGTTTTTGCTGTTTAGGCCAATCATGTGCATTTTAGACTTGGATTGAGTTTAGGACATCATGTTTGTACGTTATCCCTTGAATGCATGTTTAGTGTATTACCGGAAATGTTTGATGACCTTTGATGAGCGTGATGGGGCTATACTGATCACACAGATTTCGAATTGCAGTTGTGCCCCTTGTATCCTCACAATCCAGAGGTCTTACTTAATGAGCTGAGATCACCTTCTGAACTGCTTGATTTTGGAGAACTCTCAGATTGCATGGACATTGGAAGTGGCACGGGCTCTCCACTTCTTCATGTTGTCGACCCAACATTTGATTATGTACCACCAAAACTGGTCAGCTTGTTTATCACAGACATGTGAGTACCTTTAATGAGCCTATCTCCCCAGAATTGTTTCTTAATAGCAGAAATACACTGACCTACCAAAACGTGCATGGAACACCTTAATAGAGACCCCTTCCTTCAACCTCCTAGGCTTGAAGTAGAGTCAATATATTGGGAATCCCAAAAACCACTAAATCAGGAAATCACAAGGATTATACCATCCAACAATTTTGAATATGAAAGGCTTCGTTTGACTTTGCAAGTTCAGGGGGCAAATTTACAAGACTAGAGCAATGATCAGATAGCCAGGCAGGTGATAGTAACCCCACATCCGAGTGGAAACCAGTCTTCGGTAATTAACACTATCCATCTTGTAATTAAATGAATCCATCAAATCTCACTTGTCAGAACACGTGAAGTAATTCCTGGAAAAACGATGGTAAAAAGAGGGAGGCAACTCCATGCATTGATTTGAAGTCAACCATACCCAAAGATTCATGAGAAATTTCCGTTATTAAATTCAAATAACCCTTCACTTCACAATATCAAAACCACAGAGAACCATCCAAGCAAAAGAAGACACAGAAGACGAAATCTACATTACATGTGTCTAAAGAACGGGATTATCATAGGGCAGTGATATGAGAGGCGAAATACCCCTCCCCTACGAACAACTGAAAATGTTTTTGCTCAGCATCAACTTGAAGGACATCCACAGCCCCTGAAGTCTAACACCTAGATATGGCCATAAGGATTTGGAGACTTTCATGAACAAGAGAGCAAGAATTTTCCGTTAATACGAGACTCATGCACCTCACTCACTCCAGTTTCAGTGAAGCACATTTTGAGAAGAGATGCAGACCAAGTTATCCCTGGAGAAATTGTGGCTTCATAATCGACCTGGATCGACCGTCACATTATTCCAGCACATCAGAATCTACCCGAAACTTCAAATTTCCTGCTAAACAACTCTTCTTAACATATTATAACTGGTAATAGTCTGATTGCAAAAGAGATGCTCGAGAGGAAGTATTTTTCAGCGTGATTGTACGCAAGTTCGTGAGTCGTGACAATCTGTGCAATTCTCTCTCTCTCTCTCTCTCTCTCTCTGTCTCTCTCTGTCTCTCTCTCTCTCTCTCTCTCTCTCTCCTCCTCCTCCTCCTCCTCCTTTTCCCTTCCACCAAATTTAGTGCAATTGTTACATGTTACATTCACTGGCCAGCCCAGCATTACCCCTCTCCAATTTCTTCATAGTTACAATCTGCTGCTATACTTATACATTTATCAGCTGAACCGAAACCATCCATTACTCGAATAAAAAAGACATCTTTAACAGCAAGCTACCAGATTTGATGGCATTCATATTACAGAACCCAGAAAAGGATAACTCAAATGCCAAGCATGATGACAGTAGAATTTCAGAATCTATCATCTTCATTACTCTTCCACCATGAAGTAATAACAAGTTATGGTCAATTCCGCCAACACATATCAAAATTTGTTCACTGGTTACAGTTACAACTCACCTGCAACAAGCAGGCCAACAGCTTCCAATCGAAGCCATCGTCTCTTCAACGAATCGATGATCGGCAACCGTTTCTATGCTCACGCGACGCCTGATTGACGGCTCACGAACCCTATCCCTCCCAATTTGTCGGCTCCGCCGACGGCGACCCCGGCGCGGCGCACCGAATCAAACAGCGGCAGCACCATCTGGCGGTGCCGGATCGGCCGCGCGAGCTCCTCGTCGAGGTCGATCTCGACGTTGCCGACCCCGATCTCGATCAGCCGGAATCCCAGCTTCCCGCCGACGCGGGAGGCGACCCTGGCGTCCCAGACGCCGTGGCGGGTCCGCGGGAATCGGGCGAGATTGGCGCGGTTCCGGGCGAGGAACTCCTGCTCGGAGGAGGAGGCCATGGCGACGATGGAGGAGGTGGCGGGGTCGGTGACCTGGGCGGTGATCTTCCGGCACGACAGCACCAAGCGAAGGAGGTGTTGGTTCCTGCCGGTTGTGGACATTTGACGATGGAACAGTGAGAGACAGAGAGTCACGCTCGGCAACCGTTCGACGAAATACATGTTGGAGTTATTCTTAAATAAGCCTAATCTTCTTTAGTCTGCATGTAATGAAAATTCCAGCAAAAAATGATTTGGATCGGTGTTTGGTTAAGAGTTACCTCGCTAAAGGAAGAAAGTTTTCGCTCTCACGAGAGCCTTAGCAGCCTGTGCCTCTAATGTTCAGGGACTGTGAATTTCACTGATGTGATTTTTATTTTAATGTGTCGATGCTCGCATGCTCCGCATCCTCAATTTCCTCTATCTTTCCCTGGAAGAGGAAATACTCTCTTGATTTTTTACGTCCCGGAAATTCTCGAGATGCGGATACGAATCGAGATGAAGCATTTTAAGGTTATTCTTAGAGGACCAATCTTCTTCTTCTTGGTTTGAATGTAATAAAAATTACAGCAAAAATCTGTAAAATGAGAGCTAGCCTGTTCTTGACAGCCCAGGCCCAGGCCCAAGCCCAAACCCAGATTCCTGATCCTTGGAGATACTTAGACTTGTTAAAATGGGTGATAAATTCATTTCTTAACTCATATATTAATAAATTGATCATAACTCATAAATGAGATAGTTATATTTAGTAAATAGGTATAAGTATTATATGGGTATTAAATGGGTTCTAAATGGGTCATAAATGAGTTTACAACTATTTAAACTCAACCCATCTCTCTCGCCTTCACTCACTCTACACTCTCATCTCATTTTGGGAATGAGTTTTTCTAGATTTAATTAAATATGAATATGTTTTAGCAATATGAATCGGATCAGGTACTAGTCAAGAAAATTACATTGTACATAAATAGGTTAATTTGGGTCGGACCATTTATAATCCGAGCCAAATCCAACTCGATTTACCCATTTGACAGGTCTAGAGATGCTGACACAGACTTCAAAGAGAGGAGAGAGAGAGAGAGAGAGAGAGAGGGGGAGGGGGAGAGAGATGGCGATGAGTTATTGAAAATTCCAGGACCAGAATGAGGAGATCTTGGTGGAATTTGTTGTGGGTGATCTCGCATCTGCTTGCCTTCCACTATTCTTCAACAACTTTAGCAATCAGGTAAATTTTTATTCCTTCTTTCCGCACTTTACGTTGATGGGTTTGTGCGTTCATCGCAGGATGCGAGAATCGAAGAAAAGTAGAAAGAAAGAAAGAAATTCTGCTATGCATAGCTAATTACCTCTCCCTGTCTTGTAGCTAAGAACAGTGAATTTTATTTTTTTTTGTTGAGGTTTTCAAGATTTGGAGAGGTGGGTTTGCCCCGTGAAGAATTTGTGAGTTTAAACTGAAATTTGTGGTGGCTGCTCCTCTCTCTTTGAATCCACCTTAGGATAACATGTTGTAGATATAATGACTAGTGCTCTGCCCCACAGAAACAAGAAAGGGTACGGTGTCTCGGAACTTGATGGGATGCATGGAAAAAGGTTTTCTACACTAATGATGCCGGTGATACAAAGACGAAAATCGGTTTACAAAAAGATATGAGTCACATGACAAACTCTTGTTGGGTGCTTGCATATAGTGTACTTTACATTCTGTCATACATGTAGAATTACTCATCCTCAATATGCCCGGCATTAGCATTTGGTGCGAATTTTCAAGAGCCAACCCATTATTGCGATCGTCATCTTTTTTCTGCTACTTGTTGTAATTAGGACTAGGTAACTAAATCAGGCGCCTAGACTGAGCCTAAGTACTCTTTCCCTTAACTGATGAAGTTTTATAGCAGTGGTTGATGGTTAACCTGAACATGCCCCTTAGGTGAGGGAGATAGGTAAGTATGTATCCACACATTGAAAAACTTAATGGCTTGTCTTGCTTTGAACTTCTATGGTGTTTTGCTTGTCATTCCAGCGGATGAAGTTTTCTGCTGTCATTTGGAATCTCGTATTTGTCTGATTACTTGTGTAATTTCCCTTTTCCTGAGCCTAGACACAAGTATGAAAAAAAAGGGGACAGTATTTATTGAGCTCTTAACAACTAGAATCTTGTAGACAACAAGAGTGATATATGTGCATATTCGTATGATGGAGGACTCTATAGGAGGAAAGGAGATCTGTGCACGAGAATAAGTTAGAGGAAACATCTTTAGGCTGAAAGAAAATGAAATTCCTTATTCAGATGGGCTTGTCATTATACACATTATGTTACGGAAGTTCTTGGCAGACAATGTCGATACACAAGACGCTTCTGAATGGTCTCTGAGTTTTCTTCTGCTGGGGGATAATGACAGATTCAGCTGATAAATGATGGCTTCTCTTTGCTTGCTTTCACACCTGGAAATTTTGAGATGATTTTATGACAACCTAGTGCAAAATTTTGCTTTGCAGGAGAGATGCAAGCCTCCTTGAGAGACGCATATGTAGGAACACAGTCCAAGGGAGACTTCTGCTTTCTGATGATAATGGTGAGCCTTTGTCATTTCTGATCTTCTTCACCACTTATATTGTCCCCATGAGCATGTAGTTATCTCATTGCCCTGAATCTCTTTCACTTGTAATTTGCTTTAAGATACTTGATTTAATCGATTTAATTCAATAACAAGTGATAGCAGCCATGACTTTGTGAATGCAGTGTGAATTAACATTTTGCTGTGTTTTAATAGTTTTAACGTTCTGATTGGATATGTGAATTGCAGGTCATGTATGTAATTCTTTTTCCCTAGATCCGCAGACTCGCTGCTGTCCAGAAAATGGAGAGAAATTCTCTTGTTAGTGAGTTTTTTGTGCTGATTAGACTTTTGGTTTTGACTGCATACACTTGTGCATGAATTCTGATGAAATTTCTTTTTTCGCTTTCATAGTGGATGCAATCTCTTTTCGCAATGTTGCAACTCATATGAATATTGTGTGTCATGCTGCCTGAACCCAACTAGGGTATGTTCATCTATGCTCCTTTTGTGCTTAGTTATCTTTTGGTTTTATTTTCTATCTTGGAAGATGTTCAGAAATCTATAGCTTCGTTATCAATTGATTTGCAGACTCAGAAGGATGAAGCGCTCAAAGTAAAGATAGCCAAGCCTGCTACAGCAGGTACATTTTACTTAATCAATATGGAAAAACTATTGCAAAGTCTTCTTCTGCATCTTCATAATAGTCTTTATCTAAAGTACATTATATGTAAAATACATATTTAAAGTATTCTAACTCGTTAGCAAATTATTCACTTCTACTATGCTCAAACTTATGTTTGTATTCTTGTTTTTTCGCGGCCTTATTTTCTGCAATCTTGGGCATATAGTGATTGAATGTAACTGGTGAACAAATAATGGTATATAATATTGATTTTCACATCAATTTTGACTAAATTATTGGTTTAGAAAAAGTTGAAGTTTTACACGTTGGGGGTTTTGTTTATTGATTTGTTCTGTCGAATATGCTTTGCCTGCATCTTCTGATTTCATCTAGTGCATGTGCTTCTCACAAGATGCTTTTCGTATGTTTCACAGTGTTATCCGTAACATCTCAAAGTTTGATGATTTCTGTTGTTTGAAAGAAATTTCCACAGCATATATTATGGAGCACCTTCAAATGATGGTCAACATGTGCATTTAACACCCTTTATTTGGCAGCTGGATATTAATTGGTTCTGATTTGAAAGTCTTGTACTTGCAGAATATGCTAGTGCAGAAATGCAGTTTTCCTTCTAAAATAAGACATCTTCCTTTAAGTCTTGTATGGATGATATTGAGCCAAATTTACATGTGACAGGTACTTACGGTAGCGTATTTGATTTCTGCACTGGGAGATGCCGTCACAATTCCGAAAGTGTGGTGAGCAAATCATTTTGACGGGAGTTATAGATTCTCCTTTAAAGGATATTGTTTTTGTTTGATATTTTGGAATAAATCGCTGTCTTTTTCCTCTCCTTTAAGTTTATATAGGGGTTTCTTTCCCGCTATGAGGTCATAAAGTTGATCTTATGTTGGATGTTTAGTTTCATTACTGCATATGGGAATGCTTTGCGACAAAAGAACTGCAATATAAATATTGAGGAGTACCTCATGTGGCCCATTATCATTTTTTGACGATGTGATCTCTGGAAATCTGCCTGTCCTCATTGGTGGACATGTATGGAGTTTGATTATTGTGATTTGTTGCTCTATTCATGTTTTATGTGCTTCACAGCCCGTATTCACTTCTGTCTACTTTTGTTGTCTGTAACATTGTGATATCGGATTATGGTGACTGCTAGCTATTATATGCTGACAATGGATTGCTTGTTGGTGATAATGTGGATATGCAGTCTAGGATATTGAGGTAACCAAACGTTTCAGCCCAAATATTAGCTTATTAAGTGTTGAGGGACAAAAAAACCCATAGATTGTTAAGATGAGTGCATTGCACCTCTGTTGCATGTTCGTTGCATAATTCATGCTTGCTTATAGAGTACCTGAATTTAAGTTCTGTGAATAGTCAATGTGACATCTGAATGATCTTATTATTCCAGGTTCATGAGAATGCTTATCTTAGTGAATTCCATCATTGTTTCTCCCTGCCTGCAAATTCTTCAGGTATGTTAAATAGTACCCAGGCAAAGATCTATCTGGTAAAAGCATCAGGTGCTGTTATTTGCAATATTAACACTGCTTTATGGTTGAAACTAAAATAGGGGTTAACAGCAAGAGTTTAGAAGCAGGACTGACTGGTATCAATGTCATTGTGGGAAGGTAAGCAGTTTTGTTAATCTTTCTACTTATCCAAGTTATTTGTGGAGAAACCTACATTTGATTTCTTATTCCATCCTTTAGGCAAGGTGAGTCCTGCGATTCAGTCTGCAGGTCAATTGGGCAGTCGTGTGTCCCGAATAAGCTTGCGCTTCTAAACCAATGTGAAATGTAAGTTTATTTCACCACCCCCGATCCCCCCCGCGCCCCCCCTGGTGTTCTTCTTTTGCATTGGATGGTTGATACAGCTAGTTGTTTTCATCAAACCAGGAACACAATTCATTTTTGGATCTGATTTCATTGTTCCTTTACTTTTGATTTTTTGTTTATCTCTTTTGCCAGGGTCTTCATTACTTCTTTGTTTGTGGCAAAAGATTGCTAATTTCTGGGTGTTCGGAGTTTTATGTGCCTCCCTTTTATCACCTGCTTAATCATGGTTCAATTCTAACTGAATCATCACCTTTTCATATCTTTGGATTATATTAAGATTAGTGATGGGTTTCAAAGTTTTAACAAGATATGTTAGAAAATGTTTGCTTATCCTTCTCCTCTTGGGCTTTGAAAGAAAACATGGAGTTTGTCCTTACTCCGCATATATGAAACAGACCGTAATTTCACATTTGTTTTCAATCTAATTCCATAGGGGGGGCCTTAAAACTTGGATGAACCTTCTGAGCGGTTAGAAATTTAGTTCTTTTTCAGGAAGAAAGAGTTATCCGGGTTGAGTTCAGTAGATAATATTGAAATCCTTGGCAGGGACTGACTTTCCCGCCCAGTGGGGTGGGGGGTGTTGGAATTTGCGAGTTTTCTCCTAAAAGAATGTGGCCATGATTGGCTTCAGTAGATGCTTTGAGTTCTGTGGCAATATTTTTTTGGTTTCTTATTTCAATTTTCTTTTGACAGTATGCAGAAACATATGAGCTGTAAAGGAGCTTGTTTGGCAAGCATTGGAGCAGATCAACCTGCTGAAGTTGTTGATGATGCGCCTAGACATCTGGTATGATTTTTTATGCTGCTAGTGCAATGGGCTTTTAGCTTCCAGAAACCCATGTGTTAATAATCGTGCATGCATTGAATTAGTCAGTGTGTGGAGGACAGTCTTGACAATGTGGTGCATTTGTAATGCTCCTCGTCCTGCTGGGAAGGACATTGTGTAGTGATACATAAAAAGAGATTGGACACCTAGGTCATCACTTGAATACTTTAATTTTGGCATCATCTAGGGGAATTTGGGCTTGGGACCTTGTGTTGTTACAGGATTTAGTAATGCTCTGAATATGAAATCAGTATGCATAGATGTCTGCTTTTACATAGAAGTGTGTTGACAATTATTGTAAGCGTACTGAAATCTTTACCATGAATTCTAGAATCCAGGAGCTTGCTTGTATACCCAAAGACAATCGGCACTTTCATGTGAGGGTTCGCATCAGCATACTAGGAGACTCTGCGCTTGTGCTTAGTACAATTACTGAGTAAGTTCTGACATCATCATCTTCCTTCATGAAACTTTTTTGTGTACGAGTTTTCTAACGTGTGCTCTAGCTGCCTATAGAAGGGCATAAATCATTAAGTAAACCATAACTGTGGCTTCTGCATATATAGGAAACGATTCATAAATCTCTTTTAGTCCTATCTTGAGGCAGTTGTGGTGTATTATCGAGGATATGAGCTTCTAACATGTCTGCAGATTTAACAATTGACGACTTCTCATGTATTCATGAGTGGTATACAAAAAAAAATGTGTTTTCTTTTTTCCCTGGTCCCATGTGATTTATTCAAAAGTAGATGCAAGTCTCAACGTGACTGGAAACCTGTCTCCATATGCATGTGGTGATCGCACTCTCTGCTTGTATTCCACAAAGATTTTAGCAACAGCTAATGAATAGTCATGCTGTGACAGCATCCTGTACTTCATGAAGACAAGCACATGCATGTGTACTCATTTGTGCAATGGTTCCAAATGGAATATCTCTAGTGCAAGAAAGTTCCCCAAAATAAATTAGGGGGAATATGTCTCGAAAAAAACGCGTGATGGCATGATTTGCTACCGTCATTGATTGTTTATTCATTTGATCAAAAGATAGTCACTGTCATTCAGGAAATGTGATGAATTTTGGAGTTTCTTCCTCACCATGCACGGTGTTGAACTTGCTTGCAGCAACCGGTCTTATTATTGAAGTGCAGAGTTCTCACACCAAGAGTTTTGTTTTTTCGGTCCGTCTGATGACACCTATAGTTCTTTTTTTGTCTGAATAGTCTAAATGCTCTGATTCGGTCAAGAATCAAGATTCATTGTGGTAGCGCGTGTTTGAGCAGTAACAATGTAGATCTTCAATTTTAGCATTTTTGGTGTTCTCTTCGAATTGGAACAATGTTAAGAAGAAACATGAGCTAAGTTTTAGCATTCTGCTGCTTCATAGAATTGAAAATCTCTCCCTTTACAAAGGATTGTGCAAATATCTTGTTCACTTCCTTATGCGGAAGATCAGAATTGGAAGAAGAAAAAATAACGAATTCAACACAACGAAAACACACCAAAAAAAACAGAAACGGGAAGAGAAGAAAAGGAGAACAATCTCCAGGTTTTCTCCTGATGAAATTGAGAATGAATGAAATTCTGGTTACCACTTGTTATGGTCCTACGACGTGCATGGAACGATTGCGATCATAAGACGATATTTTCTGAACTTCTTAACATCAAAATTTATACCTCCAGGGAGCATATCGAGCAGTTGGAGCTCTTGGATTAATTAAAACTTGTTTATTCTGGTAAATAAATATAGTAAAGCTAATTAATTACTCTACTGGGGAGTTCTTGCCTCACTTGTTGAGGAGGCAAATTGTTCCTCTCAGTTGTAATGTGCTGCTCTTGATTTGTGGGTGTTTCCATCACAACCCATTGGCTCCGCTCCCTTTTGGGAAAAACAAAAGAGGCTTTATGATGTTTCAGGGATGTTGAATGCAAATCAGATTTCTCCAAGTCCCAGAATACTCCTCGGTATCACCAGTGAAAAATTTAAAAAACCAAACCCAGGTAGTGTTGATATTAATTATTAACCTTGTCAAAGAAGACAGTGAAAAGAACAAAATGTCTGGCCCCTGCCTTTGTCCCCATTGTCCCATACAAAAACCCACTTAATTACATTTCATTCTCACCATTCACTTGTCCCCATGCTCTTTTTTCTGTAACAATGTTCGTTCCCCATTTGGAACAGACAATATCGGTCTTCCATATCACCCACCCACTTGGCCTAACTCAGATGGCAACATGGCCATGCCAATGATGTTGTCATAAATGATGGAAAACCCCAAAAAAGGGAAAAAGAAGGCAGAATATTCAGAAAATAAAAGACCAATCAACAATTAACCAATTATGTGTGTGCTGATTTCATCAAGATTGATTCATCATTAACAATAATCCTGAAACAAGATCAGAAGCTGTAGTCTGTTTTGAACACCCTTTTGGGTTGTGGCTTTGAGGAGGCATACCCGCCGTTCTTGATTGCTGGATCAGTTTGTTCTTGCGCCTTTTCTTCTTCTTCTTCTTCATCTTCTATGTCAGCGAAAGCAGGGTGAGTGAGAATGCAGTTGAGCAACTGAGTCCCTCTCAGGGCATTGGTGAGTGGCAAATGACCCTCGGGAGTGTCCTCCTTTAACTCCCACATGAACTCAGTTGGGAATGACTTGTAATTATACTGCTCAACCTCCGTGTCCAGCTTCTTCATCCATCCCACCTTGATGAAGAACTTCGTAAAGTCCCTCCTGGCCTTATCCCACAGCCTCTTTTGGATGCTGTATCCGAAGCGATCATCGCTGTGGCGACGCCACAGCTCGTCGATCGCCTTGAGGTCAGCTGCGGCGATGAATTGGACCTCGGAGAAGAAGACGTAGCCGCGCTTGATGGCAGCGTCGCCGGCCAGGGCGATGAGGAGGCGGCGGGTCTCCTCGTCGGCCTGCCGGAAGTTCTTGGCGGCGAGGTGGCGCTCGAGGAGGTCGAGGGAGGTGGAGGAGGGGGAGGGGGTGGTGGAGGTGGCGGCGTCGGTGGCGGAGGAGGAGGAGGAGGAGGAGGTGGTGGGGGAGAGAGAAAAGGTGGTGGTGGTGGTGGAGGAAAGTGAGTGGGAGGAGAGAGATTGTGTGGTGGTGGTGGTAGGCTTGAGGAAGAGAGAGGACGGGGAGTCTAGGGAGTGGCGGCGTCTGAGGCGGTGGTGATGGTGGTGGTGCTGGCTGTGATGGTGGTGGCGGAGGGGGTTTAGAGAATTCGTCGCCATACAGTGGAGAGGGGAGGGAGGGAGAGAGTTTCTTGGGTGTGACAAGTAAGATGAGTAGGTAATGATGCTGGTGGGGTGGAGGGGAAGATAAGAAGGAAGAGACGAGGAAGTGAAAGAGGCTCATCAGGAGCAATTTCAGGGAGGGTTGTGATTGGCTACACGAGGGTGAGGCCAGATCTCTCTCTCTCTCTCTCTCTTCCAAATGATATATTCTCAGTGCTATTTTAGAGAAGGAAATTGTTTTGTCTTCCTTATGCAAATAATGACTAGAAAACATCGATAAATATTGAATGTACAAATCGAAGTGAAAATTGTCCAAGACATCCTTAACTTATTATATGACGGCCAATTCAATCATAAACTTTTCAGTTGTGTTAATTTAGTCCTAAACATTTTCACAACTTATCAATTTAGTCACTTTAGCCAATTCGGTTGGAAATCGCTAACGTGGATAATTTTTTTCTTTTTCCATTTCCTTTTCTTTGTTTCTTTTTTCTCTTTTCTCTTCGCCGACCTAAGGCGAGGGTTGTCCTCGCCAAGGGCCAAGGAGAGTAGCCCTCGCCGGGCCAGTGGAGGGTGGCACTCACCTAAGTCCGGCGGAGGGGAAAAGAAAAAGAAAAAGATCAGAAAAATTTAAATAATTATCTATGTCAGTGTTGATCATGACACGTAGGACTGTCGGTGCTGACTAGACTGCTACGTCAGCGATTTCCGATCAAAATTGGCCGGAACGATTAAATTGGCAAATTATTAAAAGGTTTGGGACTCATTTGGATAATTATCAAAATGTTTATGACTAAATTGACCTAGTTCAAAGGTTTAGGTTTAAGTTGGTCGTCATATAATATATTTAGGACTTTTTGAACGATTTTCCCATAAATAAAATTTTCATTTAGAAATTAGAGTAACTAGTATTAGTGTTTTGTATTGTATACATGTAGTTACTTTCTCAATCTAATTTCAATGTAACCGTGGCAAATCATCGTCAATTAATAGTTTTGTTTCCTATAATAGTTTTGTCAAAAATAACAAAATTATGATGACCTGGCTGAATTATTTAGTGTTTACTTTCACCAAAACATAAGTTATTCTCTTGCTATTTTATCGAATTTCGAGTGCATATATATTAGGACTATACTTACATAACGGTACCATTACTATTAATGAGTAGCGGTGCAATTTGAACCGTTCATTTTAATTTTTTCGTGATTGGCAACCGGATCACTAATTTGCTGTAAAGAATCATTCTTTTTGCATGTGTGCAATATTTAAAGAAACAAATCCAATGGCATTATACAAGAAAAAGAAATCCAGGGGGTAATTAACTCCAAAATTTATATGGTGGAATATTGGTCCCAAATAAATCAAATGGTACTTAAGAATTCATAAATGAAGAATATCAAATCTCCAAAATGCAAATAATACAGATAAATTGGACTTTCAATTTTTTTCAAAGTTTTTTATTCATTAAGGTACACGGGACATAAGCTCTTCTGTTTGCACACTAAAACCTAAGTTAGCCTCCTCTTCTGAAAAAATAAATTTACTTATCTCTTTTGATACGAATTCAGATATAAAAAGAATAGAAAAATCAAATTACAGTGTGATTTAGGAAGTAAAATGCATATAAATTGTTTCGAACTAGAGATCACAAAATGATCGAACAAAAAAAAAAGCATGACTCAAATATGATTTGAATCAAATTGAGAAATCCGAATATAAATTAAACACGACATAATACAATACGGTTAACTTGAAATTTTCAGTTAACAAACCGTTTGTCATCACTTTGGAATATTTTGATCACGACATGAAATGACAAAATAGGCAATACTAATCTGATACTACCATATGATTTTGCCACCCTATTTCACCCTCATAATTATCGGAATTTCAGGCTTTTTCCCCTTTTATATTCATGGAAGTTATGGTTTATTTAAATCCCACTGGATGTAGTTTGCTTGCTTACAAGCAAATTCAAACTAATGGTATATGTTTCCTTACGTTGTTTCTTCTCTCTTCATATTTAAGGAATCTCATTTAGTGGGATTTCCCAAATCCCACCAAATGAGAGTTTCCAATTCTATTTTTTTTTCAAGGAAATGGGTTAAATAAGTTAAGGAATCTCATTATCACGGTACGATTAGCTCACCATTTTGCTACACATTATGAAACTAAATAAAAGAATGAGCATTAAGAGAAAAGGGTAAAACGGTAAGAAAAAGTAAGGATATATAATAAAGGCAGAAAATTACATCAAAATTAAATAAGCAGACCAACCACATGCGGTAAAATATGCCGATTGTGGGGTATGTAAATTAAATTACTGTAACATAAATTGCAGTTAAGAAAATATTAAGTAATGTTAAGCAAATTAATGATATTTAAATAATATCAAAAGATTACAAGTGGAGATATCAAAAGTACAGGTGCAAATTACAGAAAATAAAAGCCTTTGTATCCTCAGAACATGAACAAGATCTGGAACATAAATGTGTTTTAGGGATGATATGTGGATATGAAACTTATTGGATTTTGGATTCTAAGAAAAGAAGTGAAGATATTCAAGAGGTAGGATCCAGGTATGAGATGTGAAAAGTTTTGAGAGTAATCTATTATTTTTCTGGAGAGAAGAGAGAAAGACTCTGGGGATATATGAAAATGGCATTTTTTCAATTGGAAGACTCAAGTTTTTCCCATTCTTACAATAGCGAAAATTCTAATAAAGATGACTGTTTTGCATTCATCAAGAATTGCACCATGGTCTTTTAACACGAATAATCAACAACAAAAACACTAGACCAACATATGTTTTTTTATGGTGAAATAGTGCAATTTTTGTATTTTGCTATGAAAATTTGATTTTTTTTACCGAAAACATAAAATAGATTGGTTCTTGGGTAGAAATGAGAATTTGGTTTATTGACAGGGAATTGTAGGGGTGGTTCCCAATCCTAAGCAAAGAACCGTCTCACCTTGTAACCGATCACATATAATCGAAAGACATATGATCTCTTTAAGTCAAAATAAGTAATCTCTCTTTGAACTCATTAGAGCTAATATGTGGGTGGTTTGAATTTTTTTTCTTAATTAGAGTAATAGATACAGTTAATTTGACGCATCAAAATTAACTCCAAGAATATATATGCTATTAAATATCTTGACTGTGAGGGTGAGATGCCCCTATAGCTCAGTGGTAGAGCGTCAGTCTTGTAAACTGAAGGTCCGTAGTTCGATCCTGCGTGGGGGCACTTCATACTTCATGCTCCTCCCACTAACTTATTTCTATTTTGTTTTTCAATATTTCTTCAACCATTCAAGTCTCATATTATATATTATATTATTTTTCGATATTTCATCAACCATGAAAGTCCCATATTATATATTTTCCAACATTGGATAGTATTAAAGTTGGAATTAAATTTTTGTCTCACTGGTTTTTTTTTGAACAACCGACCGATAACCTTAGCCATACTTCATGTCTCGGGCATATAAAGCAGGACCATGCTCCCGAGAATTGCTCCAAGTAAATGCGTAGATGTGATGATTCGAACTTAAGTCTTGAAAACAGAAGGCAACTTACCTCGAGGACGGTCAGTAGATGAGAATAATAATCTCGAGACATCGCATAGCTCCAACGTGAAAAAGCTGGAGATCGATTTCTGTTTTGGAAAAGGTAAAAGAAGGAAAAACCTCCATCAATCTCAGCTACAAAGGGCCGTCCGCTAAGGATTAGCCATGTTTTTGGCCCATTGGGCTCGTCAGGTCAATCTATTCTGACCCAATGGACTTAATGAACTCAAATTGTAGCCCAGTCAATCCGGGCCCAACAACCAGATCTAAGACCATCAATTGAGTAGTATGGCCATGGTATCACTACTGTTGCAATATGCTTGCAAGCTGCTTGAGTTAAGATTAAAACTTGCCTCATCGTTATTGCTGAATTCCTTCTTCTTCTTCTTTTTTTCGGACAGAGTTTTCATCCATAGCTTTCCTCCAACCAATCTTATGACTGGTGGGTTACAAACGCGGACATCATCCATAATGACGCTTGCTTAAGATTACATGTGAACGATGTCCGTATATTGCCATTCACTAGCAATCGGATGCATCCTCCAATTAGGGATGGAGAAAAATATAACCCTTCTTATTTCTAGCTAGAAATCATTACCCCAATCCAAGAAGTTCCGACTATTAACCTCCAATGAGTCAGTTGAGTTAGTTTAAGGCTCAATTGAGATCGTGCACGTCGAGAAGCATGGTGTTGAATTCAAATCGGGCAGAGACAACTTTCTATCTGCCACCTTCTTCGGTGATAACTTCGTCACTATGAGATTAGAAAAATTGTCATATCGCCTGATTGAATCGACGAGATTTGTCATAAGAAGAACAGTTAATTCAGTTAAAAAGCTCAATAATGCTTCGTTTGAGTAGCTTAGGTGATTAATCCAAGTAGTTCTTTCTAGGATTTTCTGCAAGTTATGTGATGCTCTGTATGCCTCTCTCTATGCTCGATTTCAATATGTTTATTGTGTCCATGAGACTCTAGGCCTCCAGTGAAAAGGCTTTGCAGCGCTTCTCTTTGGATCCAAGAAAAGAGGGCGAATTAGACTTTGAGAAATATTAGGTTTGCATTTTATCGCTCTGTCCTTTTGTTTGGAGAAGGATCGGATATCAGACCGGATGTTTTCACATCCTATCTAAGTTTGCGTTCCGCCCCATTTTCAAATTCTCCTATAGTTAAGTAAGATATTTTCCATGTGAAAGTTGGGCCAGATCAGATCTCGTCCCCTAAGTTTTTTGGATTGTGGTAAGTTGCCCCTGACACTTCAGCTTTTGCAATTTGCCCCCCTGACTTTTTGAGATTGATTGCCATGTGCACCTTGAATCCAATCAAATTTTGCTCGCAGCTTTGACCACGTGATTACAAGTGGCTAGAGAGAGAGAGAGAGAGAGAGAGAGAGAGAGAGAGAGAGAGAGAGAGAGAGAGAGAGAGAGAGAGAGAGAGCGCTCAAAAAAATAAATAAATTTGGAACTATATTTCCG